TCTATGTCCACGGCCTTGTCTGTGACCTCGTCTGCGGTTGTATCTAGACATATTATTCAAATACTGAGCCGCGTTCACTTCAGGGAATGGACTTGCACTAGTTGGCCTCGATTCGTGATTTTTTAGTAATACATTTGTATTCTACTCATAAAAAATAGACAAGTAATAAGATCATAATATTTAGTGAAACTTTTTTTCTCGATATTGTTGCTGCAAAACTATATTAGAGGCATGAAACATGGTGAATATTATTTTACAGAATACCCATATTAGTGATATTTTCACCACAAAATCTTAATTGGGACGTGATTTTAAATATCATAGAATAATAATTGACAACTGTTTTAAAATTTTGCAAACACAAGTGTTGCCATACGTGTTTCGCTTTTCGCAATATAACCGACTTCTGGTGGCCAAAACGATCTTTTAGATTTGTCCATAATTCAAATGGATCTTTTACTATGAGGTATTCTATTTTTAGAGATTCGTCAATATGATGATGAAGAAAAATAATTTCCTTTGCACGTTATTGGCTTGTGAATTCATTCTTCTTAATTATTATTTTTACAAGTCCCATGGACTCGAGGTGCATTTCAACATCCATTACCCACGACATATAATTACTTCCGATAATAGCCAATGAAGGGAATTTAAATTTTTCTATGTTAGTCATAATTATATTGAAAATAGTTGAGTAATTACCTAAAAATTTGGCAAAATCTCTGTAGCATTTTGATATATTCTTTTTGTATCCGAGATGGAACTTGGAAAGAGTTTTGACAACACTATGATGCTTTCTTTTAATATATGGGACAACACTTTGATCTAAGAGTCGGACAAAATTTTTACAACTCGTGCTAATAACGTACTCCCTCCGTCCCATATAATTTGTCCTATTTGGCTTAGGCACGGAGTTTTAGGTATTGTGTAATTAGTGAGTAATTAAGAAGTATATTAGTGAAAATAATTATGATTTAATAAAAATAATTTTAGATTAAGATTAAGATGACTAAATAGTTTAATTAAAATAAACAAAATTATAGATTATGAATTTTAAAAATGTGATTAAGGTGTATAATTGTATTTCCAAAAATGGAAAGGACAAATTAGTTGGGACAGACTAAAATAAAAATAGTGGACAAATTAAGTAAGACAGAGAGAGTATTATATATATATGATATATATAACAATATATAATTAAACAATAATATTATGTATGTGTGACAGATATATTTAAACAATACTATTGATGTGTGATGTATTGGAATTCAAGTGTGGCGTATGTTTGTAAGTATTGTCTACTTCTCAGGGTCCGCAGCTAAGCGGTATTTTATTTACCTTTTGATTTTTCTGTGATGGTTTTTACATAGTTGTCTACTTTATTAGGATATGCTTGCACGCAACCTGTTATGAGGAATTATACCATTATTTTTGGCAATTTTTGAATTGGTCTATAATGCTCATGAATTGTGTTGTTTTATAAATTTTATTTTGTGAACCGTTTCAAGGATTGAAATTTTGATAGCGAGATGACATCACCAATACACAGTCACCTTAATGTATATATTATACATAATTTTTTCGCTTCCGTTTGTGTTATGCAACCACATCATTTAGCTTTGTTGTGTAATTGAAATGACACCATCGAGTATGTATAAGCTAATATATAACTTTTTTGCCAACTAATAAACTATTTTAGCATGAAGGCATGTGCAAAATCAATAAATTCTATGTTGAACTTTAGTGTCAATTGTTTGCAAATATATTATATAATGAACTAGGCATATGCAAAATCCATAACAAATTTTAGCTTGAACTTCGCTTCAAGCTTCTTCATAATACAGGTGTTGTATAAGTGAGTTAAGACATATAAAACCATTCTTATAACATTAGTTTATAAAATTTGTGGAAGTCTAAAATTGCTAATAGAATATTTCCACTGTTCAAACTTTATTCCCACACAATTTGAAATATTATGCAAACATAGTCAAATTTTGCAAAATCAACCAACTAAGATCATTCCCAAATAAGTACATGTCCCATAACATACAACTACATACAACCTCTAATACAACAATGACGTACAACTACCCATCTTCCATTATATTACACAACTTTTAATAAAAAATAAAACATACAGCCACATGTCTTAGGATAATGTGTCAACTTTGATCATATCATCTGCATTACAGTTCAAATTACTTAATCAACGCAACACATCCTATGATTACAATAGCAACGAGGATAGACACCCCTTTTTTTTTTGAAACGATGCAATCGAATATTAGTTTCTTCACATAGTTTGATCAACCACACAAGCTCTTTAGACTCACCTACTTCTAAATCGGGCATATTCATCCCCGAAACAACTTCATCTCCATCAAACTCATATAGTGTGTGCGGGCTTCCCATATTCTTTAATGGTGGATTTAAAGGTTTCAACTAACAACAAAAAATCACATTGCCCGAGTTTACAATTGAAAAATAATTTACCTTTGGTATCTTTTGTAGACCCAACAACTTTTAAAGAAACATATCTTCTGCATCGACAAAACAAAGTCTTATATCTCAAATCCACTCTATGTTTCGTCTTCTATGAACTACTAGACATAATTAGTTTAATCAAAGCCTGCAACAATTATGAAAATCATTTAGAAAAATCACAAATGCGGACCAGACATTTACTACTTTTATCTAATGCGACAACATAACTATTTTGATGAACTTTTCTTAAAATGAATATCATAAATTTATATTTGGTTTACATACTTTCATTTTTATATATCATTCTAATTGCAAATAAAAAATCATTCATAAAAAGAATTACTACATTGGGTTTATTTTTTTCCGAATTTCACAAAACTCTAATTTTTATAATTAAACACAAACCAATCAACACAAGAAAAAATTGCAAATCTAGACAGTATAAGGATCGTATAGAGCTTGTACAACGATAATGAGAAAAAATTGGTAAATTGACTAATTTGTAAAAATTTGATAAAATTGGATCCAATCGGACATGTATAAAACTAGTAAGAAAAAATTCCAATCGAGTATGTATCAACTAAATTGACTTATTTCAAAGAAATATGACATAAAAGTCATACAAAATCTATCAATAATTACATTCTCACAAACAAAATTACAATTATTTCTCTCAACCCAACGCATTCGCGAAACATTCTCATGAACAAAAACTTAATTTCAACTAGTAACGCATTCGTGAAACCTTCTAATGAACAAAAACTTAATTTCAACTAGTACTTAAATTATAGATTTAGGAACAAAAACTTACCTCCTAATTTGAATGGACCGCTGTCGCTATTTTTTTTAGCCAAATGTAGCGCTGGTGAACTCACAGTCGTAAGCCCTAAACGTGATTCCCAACTTAATCTCCAATCTTGATTCTTTAATATAATACAGGGAGGGTATAATAGTCATTTCAAATAACACCCTTAAATACATAAACTCATAGTCGCATACACAACACGCGTTTCTCAAATTCCGTTGGTTTACAATATTTTGGGGGTCTTGTATTTAATTCTACAAAACACAAATATGTTGGGTGTTATTTTTAAAATAGATGGGGCTATGCACTTTTAAAGTAAAACACGTGGGGACAATGGACTTTATCCTATATTAAAAAAATAAAATGACCAATATTCAGATATTTAAAATATACTCTTAGGGATATCAAATGGGGCGGGTTAGCCCCGGACCTGGTCTTAATGGGGCGGGTTCAAGTCTAAAAAATTTGGTTCGGGACAGATTGTGGATTTTAAGTTGTAGACCCGGCCGGGTTCGGGGCTGATTACGAGTTTTACTATAAACCCGCTCCACCCCGGACCCGGAACCCGAATATTTTAATAAAAATGATAATTATTTATATTTTTATACAATATAAATTATATTATTTTATTTTAAAAAATTTAAATATAAAATAGAACCTTAATTTTAAATCAAATTTATTTTCGCATTTATTTCTCCTACAATTCTCTTTATAGTCGGGAATACTGTTAACCGCCATCACTACGGACTATCGTTAATATTTGATTGTTCTTATTTTTAAAACTATAATTTTTTGGTACTTTGACGCATACTTCTTTTAGTATTAAATTATTTTTTTTTAAAAAAAAAACAGGTTTATCGAGTTGGTCCCGAACAGGTCCTGGGGCCGGGTTGAAGCGGAAGGCGGGTCTTGGGTCCTAATATTTTCTAACGAAACGGATCCCGGGGCCTGCAAAACCTGTCCCGAACCCGCCCCATTGACATGGCTATATACTCTCAATCTTTAGTTGGTATCCAAGCCAAATTTAACAATATATTCTCAATCTTTTCTCCACAAAAATAACTAATGTATCTATTCAAAATTTATTTAAAATTTTTTATTTATATAATATATTTTTTTAATAAATAAATATATTTCTAGATATATATATTCAAAATTCTAGTTTATTCATAAAGTTAATTTATATTAATTATATATAAATATTCATAGTATTTATTTATATCATATAAAATTATATTTATTTTAAAAATACTTTCTACTATCTATTACTTTTTTAATAAATACTTATTTTTTTAATCTTTATGGTGAACCAAGTGGACTAAGTGAGTAATTAATTAAATATTAATTAAATAAAATTATTTCCATCTCAACTTTTGGAATTTATTTGTAATTTTTTTTAGTACAATTCCTAATATATATTTTATTATATCATATAAAAAAATAATATTCATTATAAAAAATATTATTTCTTTTGTGATTTTTTTATTTAAATTTTTACTATTTAGTTTTTTTCTTTTTTTAAAAAAAATATAAAATCAATCTATTATTTTTATTTTTTATATTATATTAAAATTCTATTTATTTTCAAAATATTAAATAATTATTTAAATTTAAAAAATTAATATTAAAAAAAATTCAAATTAAAAAATGAAACCCAAAACAAACAAAGAAACACAGCCTAAGCACACAAACCCCAAATATCTGTCTACACTGTCCACAAAACCACTCTGATAATCGCCATGGATATTGAAACAAAACCAAAATGACTGATCAATAAATCAATGAATCCCGACTAGAGATTGAGGAGGAACTCCTAATAAATGAATAAATAGATGCAAATAAGGTGCGTTCAAACATGGAATCTCGTAGCCACACTCCGACGCTGCTGCAGAAGCGCTGCACATATCCACCAAGTCCACGCCCAGGCCATCGCCCGCGGCCTCTTCTTCCTTCACCCCTCCTCTCTCCTCCTCTCCCAAATCCTCCACTCCCTCGCCAATATCATCATCCTTCAAAATCATGTCTCCCAATCCCAATACCTGACCGACATTTTCAACCTCATTCCCAACCCTTCCGCTTTCGATCACAATTCCCTCATCCGCGCCCACACCCTCCTCCAATCCCCCCACGCCGCCCTCCTCTGTTTCACCCAAATGCGCCGGAAATCAGTCCCCCCTGATTCCCACACCTTCCCCTTTGTTCTCAAAGCCTGCGGCCTGTTGCACAACGCCTCGCCTCTGCTCGCGGGGAATCTCCACTCGGAATTGATCAGGTTTGGGTTTAGAGCTGATGTGTTTGTGTGCAACGCGCTGGCCAGTGCCTACTCTAAATCCGGTGACCTTCATCTTGCCAGAAAGGTGTTCGACGAAAGTCCGCATAGAGATGTTGTGAGTTACAATGTTATGATTGATGGGTTAGTTAAGGTCGGTGCAGTTGATGATGCCAGGAAGCTGTTCGACGAAATGCCTCAAAGAGATGCAGTTTCTTGGGGCACTCTTTTGGCAGGGTATGCAAAGTTGGATTATAAATGCAATGAGGCCATCGAGTTATTCGATCGAATGATTGATTCGGCGGTGAAGTTCGACAACGTGGCAATTGTTTCGGCGCTTTCGGCCTGCGCTCGTCTTGGGGAGCTGACAAAAGGCCGGAAAATACACGATCGCCTTTGTCAAAACAATGTTAAACTAGACGCGTACTTAGGTACCGCGGTGGTCGACATGTACGCCAAATGCGGATGCATCGAGACAGCGAAGGACGTCTTCCATTCATGCGACGATAAGAACGTGTCGTTGTGGAACGCAATGCTCGTCGGATTAGCCGCACACGGCGACGGGGCATTGTTGCACGAATACTTTTCAAGAATGGTGGAGGACGGGACCAAGCCAGATGGGGTGACAATTCTTGGCGTTTTATCGGGGTCAAGTCATTCCGGGCTCATCAACGAGGCGAAGAAAATATTCGCGGATATGGAGACTCTTTACGGCGTTCAACGAGAACTAAAGCACTACGGCTGCATGGCCGATCTCCTCGGTCGCGCTGGGTTGATCGGAGAAGCGGTGGAGATGATAGAGGCGATGCCGATGGGAGGGGACGTGTTCGTGTGGGGAGGGTTGCTCGGAGGGTGCAAAATACACGGAAATCTTGATATTGCCGAGGAGGCGGCAAGGCGCGTGATGGAAGTGAGGCCGGAAGACGGCGGCGTGTACTCGGTGTTGGCGCACATGTATGCAAATTCGCAGAGATGGGATGACCTGGTGAGGGTGAGGAGATTGAGGGATTGCAGATGGGGAATCAAGAAGATGGCTGGATGTAGTTTGATTGAATTGGATGGGACAACACATGAATTTGTTTCTGGGGATTGTTTGCATCCTTGCACTCAAGATATACACTCTGTGTTGAATGGGTTAGAACTACAATTCGAATCGATACAATACTAATTGTTCTAATCTGTATGAAAATACTATAAATAATGGCTAAATTACACCAAATCCACGGGTCGTTTTACTAAACTGTGTCAAATTTTCCGCACTTCTAAAAGTACGTCAATCTGTATGGTTTTATAAACTTTGTGTCTAACCGCTGCAGCGGTTCTTATTTAAAAATATTAGATTTATGCGTGCTCAAACTGCGAATAAATTTCAAAATTTCAATTTATAAACCTCCGTTATAAATTGAGATTCTAAAATTCGTTTACAATTTGAGCGCATTTAGATCATATGCCGCTAAATAATGTCTGCCGATGGAATTAGACGCAAAATTTATGAAACTATGAGAGAGTTTAACCCAATTTTAGAAGCATGAATATTTGACGCAATTTCGTAAAATTACATATGGATTTTGTGCAATTTCGTCAAAAATATAACAATCAAACACCGTTAAATAAAATCTTCCGATGGAGTTAGATACAAAATTTATGAAACTATGAGAGAATTTAACGCAATTTTAGAAGCATGGATATTTGACGCATAAAACTACAAATAGATTTTGTGCAATTTAGCAAAAAATTATAACAAATAATATATTAATTATATTTAATCAGCACCGTCAAGAGCGAATGACTCCCTGTTAGAGTGCTTATTGAAAATTTATCAACATCGTGCTGATTGCCTCAATCAATACATAAAAATACTATAAATAATATACGAAAATATAACAAGACATCATGAAGTATTAATACGTATCGTTGGTTCTATTTTATATTAAATTAGCGTCGCAATCGCCGCTAAATCCGAATAATAGCCTATATGGAATCGAATTCCATACTTGGTAGTATATTAGTACTATTTACAAACAAAGGAATTTTGGTTTCCATAAGTGAATGTAGTACCTAGTTTGAAGATGTTGCCTAGCCTAGCCTAGCTTAGCTTAGCTTGAAGGAGGGCTTCTGGAGCTGTTGCCTAGACAAAAGTAGTTAAATATGTCCTGCAAGGTGATTACGCCTTCGAGGCGACCGGTGGAAGCCTCGACGACAATGATGCGCCGCACATCTGAGAAATGACACGATGATAAGTTCTTATCTGTGGAAACAAGTATGGAATTATCTTGGTCTTGTGGAGGCTAACCTGGTTCGGAGAGAAGTTGCATCACCCAATACAGGGAATCAAATCTAGTGCATGTCCGGTATCTGGTTCGACGACCTGTGACGTTGATCACTTCCAATGCCTGTATATGATTCATAGTTAGCATATATATTAGTAGCAAATGAATATGGTAGCAATCGATTTGTGCCGAAGTTTCATTTTACCTGAGATACTGACATGTGCTCGGGTTGAATACGAGTATACAAACTGTCCTTTGCCAATGCTGTAATATCACTGCAGAGAAGAAAACGACGAAATGATATGGACATACAGCAGTCGAAATAAACAATCGCAAGGTTTGATTACCTTCTGGAGTATACATTGATGATATTACCGGCATCGTCAACTACGGGAACTGAACTTATTTGAGCTGTACTAAAGTAAGTAAAAGAACCATTTAGCAAACAGGGAAGTTTCAGAGATGTATTGATATTCAAGGAAGCAACGAACAAACGGGCGATCAAAAGACCATTTCGTATGCGCAGATTTAACCATTTCAGAAGGAAGTAATCGTTTACCTTCCAGAAGTAAAGTAAGAGCAGAACTAAGAGGGTCATTGGGGTGCACTGTCAAGAGCGCACGACCACCTGATCTTCTAACATTAACAGCCCAAGTACCTATCGGTATGTAACCAATTGGTTTCTGTAAAAGAGGAACATGCCCAAGGCGGCCTTCAAAATGGCTGCATATATCTTGAAAATCATTTTAAGAAAAAACAATAATAAGCATCAACTAGCATCCATCACAAATACTGTGAAATATATTCGATATTCAAAGAAGTTCACCGCACGCACTCCTTAATATTCCAGCAAGGCATGCAATGTGTAACAAATGAGTGAAGGACCCATCCGCCGAGTGCTGTATAATAGGGACAGCAGAAATGTTATTTCTAAGAATCCACAGAACTGCATTCCATAGCGATTCATCCGGACCAGCCTGTTGTAGATTGCGGAAATACAATGGAAATGCACAAGTTAATTATAAAGTTTGCAACATCCAATTTCCAAAAAAACAAAAAAGTCATTATCAATCTATGTCGATCAGAGAATTTACATAGATTAATGGTCTCCTCTGGATGGGATGCAGAGTCCCGACTATATCTCTATAGTTTTGGAGCTTCCAGGCTTTCCAGGAAGATATTGTGCGTATTTCATGATCTACATCGGCAAACATTGCCCTGTTTCTCTGAAGCTGCAGGATGTAAGAAGCTATATCTCAGACAGAAAGATTTCAAAACCCAATAGGTTAAACAAGAAAGTCGAGATTATTAAACTTGATGTAATGTTATAGATTGATTAATCTGATTTCAATAAATAAGTTACTCCATCATTTACTACATAATACCACCTCTACTATGCTATAAAACTCAGTTAAAGAAAAGAGTTCAATTCGTCGTATTTATTTTACTTCTCTACCGCATACCTGTCCAATTTTCTGCAACGAAAGTAGGCTAAATACATTCTAGTGTCGATTAAGACGTGCAAATACCTGAAGTAAAACCAAAATAAAATCTGAAGCAGTCAGCATCCCCACCATTTGTCCAATACTTTCATTCCATAGAGGCACAGAATTGATTCCCTACAAATGCACAACCAAATAATGAATGCCGTATTTGTCACACATCCATACAGAAAACAGAGGAAATGGCTGAGAATTTATACCAGTTCATACATAACATTGAAGGCCTCCTCTACACCCACATCAATATCAAGTGCAATGACCTAACTACCATGAATAATTATGAGATTAAAACATTGTAAGTAGAGGCAAGAGCACAGTTTATGTCCAGAGTATATCGAGACCAGAAAAGTGCTGAACAGAAGCCAACAGCAGTCAAACCTTGCCTGATTTTGGAATCAGCTCGTATGCTGTAGATGATAACAAATGTGTAGACAAAACTCGATGAAAGGCATCCAGATCTCCATCTGATAATTGCTCAACCGGTTCACTAAGGAGTCTGCCTGAAGACGAGCCCTAGTTTGCAAGTAGCAAAAGAATATAAATGACAGACTCAAAAAACCTAGGAGAAGATATATTATCGACTAGATTAGATGTTAATTCGGGGTGTTTAGAGAGAGACCACAGATGGCATGACTTCATTGTTTCCGCTAGTACTAGCCTCAAAAGGTGCAGCATTCAAATCTTGAAACATGAAGTTGTTTCCATTCACTAGGACTATATTGTTCATAATTCCATGTTCGTCAGTCTCACATATTTGCTGCTGATCAACTCTCCATGTACCATCAACCAAGAATCTGAACTGAACAGGCATTTGGAGAAAGAAAATACAGTCATCAGTAGGCAAACATTTTGTGAAGATACTTTGTACACATTCTCTAATATACTTATTACGAATAGGAGATGCAGTGTGAGTCTACTTAATTCAAATCCCACAGCAGACACTGGTCTAATCTCTGCATTACTTCAAAGAAACTAGTATGGGAACAGCAAGACTACAATGATTCAGATCGAGATACATATCTATCTATTTATCTATCTATATATATATATATATAAATAAAAGGCAAATGCAGTCTTCCCAGTTTCTGATACTAATTAGCTTAAAGAATTAAGAATTAATGTTTTGATCTTCCCCATTTCTGTGAAAGTTTCGAATTAGAGTGAGCTGTTTCAACCAATCCCAAATGAGTTTGGTATCAAATAAAATTCCTAAGATATAAAAATTCATGGTTCGAATCTTCACAGATATCTAGTTCTATTGAATCTCAAGCTAGACCACAATATTCCAAATTAACTTACCCTCAGAACACAACCTATTTTACATATTTTAATCATATTCCAACATTATTTCCTATAAACATGATAGTGTTTCAACCATTCTTGCCTATAACTACTGAAATTTGAACATTTCAAATAAAGAGAAGTCACTAAATATTCTAAACAGCCATGCTTAGTATATTAACAAGAATCTAATCATATTGAATCTCAATCCAGACCACACAATTCCATATATATATATATATATATATATAATATTGGAAAACACATCCTATTCACAAAATTTGATCGTAATCCAGCATTACCTGATAGCAACCTGGTGGAAGATCAATAATTATCTGGAAAACAGTTCCAGAACCTTCAATCAAAGGCAACCGTATCCCCTCTCTCCACCTGTAAACACAAATATATACATATATATATATATATATATATTCAATAGCCCAAAAGTGCAGAAACAAACTTACTCATAACACCACCATAACTCGGGCTAATCTCAACCCTAAAAATCTGGTAAATACAAAATTGGGGAATCTGAGAATTATTACCCATTGAAGGAGCCAGATAGCGAGACCTGGCGACCTCCATAGCGCCATGTAAACGGAGTCGGCACCATCCCAATGTCACAATGTGTCACTGCGGACCCAACACAATTTATATGTCTATAAACCAGCTCGATCGAGCTGATGGAACCCCTAATTATAATAATATAAACAGCGCTATCAGGAAAAGCTGTACTCCGACAAAATCTGTGATAAATCCGTCACCTTAAACTGCAGAAGAAAAAATATATCGTACTGACTTGGCGAGCAAACAACCGAATCGAATGGGTATTCAACAGTGCGAACGCAGACTTGACTTTTTGATGGAATTTCCAAGAGAAAAACTTCCCCAAGCAGTTTGGGCAGCTTTGTCTTCATTGGATCGAAAAAAGGGATGGAGAGAAATGGAATATATATATATTTTTAAGTGAAGAGGTGTGGGTGTGGGGCTTCACGTAGCTTTCCTGCCATGGAACGATCATGCCACGGTCACTCATTCATTTTATTATTATTATTCTCATAATTCTAATGTTTTTGTTTTCTTTTTTTTTTTTTTTTTTTTTTTTTTTAATCACGATTAGAATCTGCAGCGGCTATCCCAAAGGTGCGGGTAAACCCTCAGCCGAAAATCAAATCCCATAAAAATGTCATACTGAGCAAATTATATGTGACAGGTGATTTGATGGTCCGAATTTGAACCTGATTCTAATGTTTTTCCTGCTTGCTTTATAGTCTATGTTTTATATTATTAATAATTTTACACATTTCACCTTTAATACTCTTTTTCCAATAAATAGTTACACGTTTTTATTTTAGATTGTAGTTTAAATTTGAAGTAAGCAAAAGTATCTTTTAATTAAAATTACTATTTTATTTTTTTAATAATAATAATAATAATAAATACAATATTATAATATAATATAAAAATTATTAATTTATAAGAACTATTATATTTTAATAAAAAATAAAAAATAGAATTATATTATTATTTCTTATTTATATATTATTTAAATTAAAATTTAAAATTATATTCAAGATACTAAATTTAAATAGAATAAAAATTTTTTAATTGTACTAAAATTATTAAATATAATTTATAAAATTTTAAAATAAAATGTAAAATACAAATAATTAAATATTATATTATAATTTTATTTTTATTTTATATATTATTCTTAAATTAAAATTTTAAAATACTTCTATAAATAATCAGTTTTCTAAAATATTTTTTATATTTTAATTTAAAATTTTCAAAGATAATTAATAGTGTAAAATTTAAAAATAAATTATAAGATTTTTATTAAAAAAATACAATTATATTAATAATATGATAATTAATTTAAAATAACTCTATTAAAGTATCTCTTCACCTCAATAATTATTTTTTCAATTTTTACTATAAAAATTAGTTATTTATGTCATTAGCTTTACAAATAGTTATTTAATATTTACTACATTTTTAAAGAACTTGTTAACTTTAATAAAAAAAAATTTAAAAAAATAATTAAATATTATTCAAAATTTTTAAATTTTCGACTAATATTTCAAATTTAAAAATAATAGATTATATATTTCAATTATTAAAATTTATATAAATTAATATTTAAAAATTAAAATAGTATAATATTATATAAAAAATTATTAGACAAGATAAATATATAAAAATATGTATAAATAATGGGTCCTATAAAATGTCAAAGGTGTAATGTGTTGAATGGGATTACTATAACGAGTGATAAAGAGAATAATTTGAATGTTGAGATGAATATGACGTGGATGAGAGATAAAATGGATAATGAACTAGATGAAATTACTAATAACAATTTTTCTAAAAGTTATTTTTATAATGATTCATTCAAGCACAAAATCGAATGCTTGTGCTTTTGGCTTCGATTTGTGCTTCTATTTTTTGTTTTAACTTATTTTTTAAACCAATCCAAACGGGCTCTTAGATCACTCAATATCTCTTAATTTTTATTGTTCTTCAAAAAACAAATATTTTTACTTACATTAAACACTTCATATTTTTATAAAATTAATTTATGTTAATCATAAATAAATATGATTTTTATTTATTTATATTATTTAAAATTTTATTCTTTACAAAATGATTACATATTGTATATATTTTATTGATATATAGTATTTAAAACATTTAAATATTTTATTTTTTTAATATATACTCGTCCGTCCTAATTCAAAGTACATTTTTTACATTTTTTATTGTGCCACTCAAAATTATCACTTTCTTTTTCAATAAAAATAATCATACATTAATATCAAAATATTATTAACTTTTATTTAAATTATAAATATACAATTATGAATACAATTTGTTGAAACTTGATTTGGATTTAGCAGTATACCAGACCTGAAACCAAAGCGAAAAGGCTGTTTCAATTGGTAGGGTTCCTTTTGGACTCATCCTAATTAATAAGAAATGGGCTTAGGGTTTAGGGTATTTTGGGGCGCTTATAAATAGATAATTATGGTTCATATGAATTAGTATAATAAAATCTCTCCGATTCTTACCCGTGGACATAGGCTGACACACCGTCACCGAACCACGTAAAACTTTTGTGTTCTTTATTTGTTTTCTTTCTCATTTTCTAAAAACAAATGGTATCAGAGCCATATCTGATTGATTGAAGATGTCCTCGCATAAATTTGATTTGGAGAAGTTTAATAGGTTGAATGATTTCACGCTCTAGAAGGTTAAGATAAGGACACTTCTTGTTCAACATGGATGTGCGACTGTGTTGGAGGGAAAAGACAAGTTTCATAAAGACACGAAAGATGAGGTGAAGAAGGAGATTTTGGCAAATGCTCATTCCACGATCTTGCTGTCAGTTACTGACGAGGTGTTACGGGAGATTGTAGATCAGATGACGGCTTCAAGACTATGGGATAACCTGTGTGAGAAGTACTCGAAGAACTCTCTCACGAACAGACTATATCAGAAGCAACAACTTTACACCCTCCGGATGTTCGAAAGTACTCAGGTAAAGGATCATCTTGATACCTTTAACTGTATTATTCTTGATCTTCAAGGGGTTGAGGTTAAAATAAATGATGAAGATCAAACTTTAATTTTACTGTGTTTACTACCTGGTTCATATGAGAATTTTGTAGATACTATGATATATGGTAGAACTAAAATTTCTGTTAATGATGTGAAAGATGCTCTTAAGTCCAAAGAATTGAAAATAAAGGTTTCTTTAGAAAAGGGTTTTGGTTCATGTGCAGGTAGGGAAAGACCACAAGAGAAAGGTAATGGAAATGAGAGGTCGCGTTCAAAATCAAAATTCTCTAACAAAGTTAAATGTTACATTTGCAAGGAGAATGAGCATATTAAAAGAGATTGTCCAAAGAATAAGGGAAATACAAAAGTTGAGTCTAGTAATAGTGGTAGTGCTGTTGTGGTACAAGACAGTTCTAATGATAGGGACCTTGGTGAATTTCTGACAGTGTGTAGTGCTAGTCCTGCTGATACCTGGATTATGGATACCGGTGCTTCTCACCATATGACGTTCTCTTGTGATCTACTCACTTCTTTCAATGAGATGAATGGAACGGTGAAGTTAGGTGATGATGGGGTTCTAGCCATAAAGGGGAGCGGAATAGTGCAGATAAAATTGCATGACGGTACTGTCAGGAAATTTGACTAATGGTATGTTCCTAAACTCATAAAGAATTTGATTTCTCTTGACACCTTAGCCAAGAATGGTTTAAAATATCAAGGTGAAGGTGAGTGGGTGAAAGTCCTGAAAGGTGCTCTCATGATTATGAAGGGAAAACTGCAACATGAAATTTCTTTTCTACAGTGCAGTTCAGTGATGGGAACAACGCCGGTATCCCAGTCCTTGGATAAACATGATGCCATGAAAAATTTGTGGCACCGTCGATAGGGTTACATGAGTGAGCAATGGTTGTCTGTGCTGAACAAGCAGAATTTATTTGGTGGGGATGTGACATGTAAAATTCAATTATGCAAAGCTTGTGTAAAAGGGAAGCAACACACGGTGAGGTTTAGTACCGGTCAACACACTTAAAAAGAAATTCTAGAGTATGTTCATTCAAATTTATGGGGTCCTTCTCCGGTGAAATTGCAGCGCAGTTGTACTTACTTTGTCACTTACATAGATGATTATTCAAGAAAAGTTTAGTTGTACTTTTTGAAGACTAAAGATGAGGTGTTTGGGAAGTTCAAGGAGTGGAAGACCACGGTTGAAAAATGAAAGGGTAAACAGGTAAAGACTTTAAGAACTAATAATGGGTTAGAGTTCTGCAACGCTCCATTTGATAATTTCTGCAAGAAAAAAGGTATAGTGAGGCACTACACTGTACGACACACACCACAACAAAATGGGGTTGCAGAGCGTATGAACCAAACCCTCATGGCGCGTGCTAAGTGTATGCGCATATTTTCTGGCTTATCTAACCAATTCTTGGCTGAAGCAATTAATACTGCTAGCTATCTGGTTAAGAGATCTCCATTAACTGCAATTGACTTAAAGACTCCTCAAGAGGTATGGTCCTGTAAACCCTATGACTACCCTAATCTAAAAATATTTGGATGTCCTGCATACGCTCATGTGAATGATGGTAAGTTGGAGACGTGGGCGGTAAAATGCATATTTCGAGGGTATGCAACATGAGTCAAAGGTTATCGACTGTGGTATACAAAAGGTAAAAATCCTGGTAAACTTCTTATTAGCAAAAATGTAGCTGCTATGCTTGATCAGAGTAGAGGTTATGAAAGTTTTGCAGGTACAAAAGATTATGCTGCTAACCAGAAGGTGGAGTTTGAGACTCATGACAGAGTTGTGTTAGAGGAAAAGCAACAAGATAATACTATTGATCAATCCGATCAACCAGATCAGTCAAAACCTCAAGGGAAACCAGTTTGGGAGGAAGCTGATGATACTGGTACTGGGGTTGAAGATTCCATAGCAGTTAGAAAGGGAAAGAGAAATATTCAGAAACCAGCTAGGTTTGCAAGATGTGTCAATACATGTGACATGGATTATGTGGCTTATACATTGGTGGTTGGTGATGATCTTGGCTCTGATGAGCCAAAGACATATAAATAAGCTGTGGCAAGTAATGATGCAGAAAATTGGATTATAGTGTTCCCACTGGCTTCACCCTTTTTTAAAAGAACAAGACTTCGGATCTCGTTGCACTACCAAAAGGGTGAAGCCAGTGAGATGCAAGTGGGTCTTTAAAAGAAATGAGGAAATTCCTTGTGTTGAATCTACTAGTTCAAGGCGAGACTGATGGCAAAAGGGTTCTCACATAAGGAATGAATAGATTACCATGAAGTCTTTTCTCCTATGGTGAAACACAAAACCATCTAGGTTTTTTTGGCAATGGTGGATGCTT